TTGCCTCCTCTGGAAAGCCACCAATCCCTGCTTGGCACCTTTACTGGCTTTCCACTCCTCAGAAATGCTTTCCCCAGAATGAAGACCAGGCCACATGCCATACTTTCCCCTGCTGCACCCAGCAGGCCCTGGGGCTTTGGAGAGCCTTCAGTGTGGCCCTCACGTGGGAGGGTATCACCCATAAAACAAAGAGAGATGGCTATGTGTACCCCTGCCAGGACCTCTGCTTCACCCTTGATCAGCCTCATCTCTTTCTTCCTTCAGTCCCCTCCGCTTTGCTTTTCAGGGCCTTAGGTATTTCCACGGGTCCCTTGGGACCTCTGGAGAGCACAGGAATCAGAAAAGGTGGAAGCAGGGGATCTTGCTGTGATTCTGAGAGTGGCAAAGTTCCCCCCAGAAGACAGTCTTTGGAGTTTCCGAACAGGCCGTGGAGGTATGTGAGACCCAGCACGCCTGTTAAGACAGGCTGCAGGAGTCCTGCGTGGGGTTAGGGCAAGCTTTTTGGCTTGATGGGTTTCAGCTGCAGCTGGCAGGAAGCTTGGAAAAGGAAAAATGGGGAGCGGGGGTAATGTCAAGTCTGGACAAAGGCAGAGTTTGTTTGCTAAGTGACAGATTTGAAGAGGCAGTGCTGAACTCTTTAAGGCAGCCCAGGTCCTTATTTTCTTCTTATCTGGGTAGGGCGTTCATGCTGCCCCATCCATAAATCTTGAGAGCTTTTGGATCATCTTTGACTTCTGCTCCTGACCCACTCCACTTCAGGCCCAAGGTCTGAAATTTCTCCTCCCATACCTCTCCTCCCCGAACTGACACTGTGCAGCTCCTAGCCCCATGTCTTTTCCATAGACCCCCCCCACCCCCCCTTTTTTATTGTCAGTCATGAGGCTTGAACTCTGGGCCTGGGTGCTGCAGCTCAAGGCTAGCACTCTACTATTTGAGCCACAGTGCTACTTCTGGTTTTCTGGTGGGAATTGGAGATAAGAGTCTTACAGGCTTTCCTGCCTGGGCTGGCTTTGAACTGCGATCCTCAGATCTCAGCCTCCTGAGTAGCTAGGATGACAGGGGTGAGCCCCTGGCACCTGGCTTAGGCCCCCTTCTTTTGTTGGGCTCTGACTGAGAGCTGAGAGATGGAAGTAGAGGAGAAATGCTCTTGAGACCTTCACCCCCTCCCCAACCCCTGTCCGTGAGCAAGTCCTCTCTGCATGGAAGTCCTACCAACTATATATAGCTTTCTCTTTTCAGGAGCTTGAAAAATGTCTGTGGTCTCAAAAAAGCCATCCTCTGGAGGCTGCAAAACTCAGAGGTGCCACATGAGGCAGAGCTGGCACAGCTGTGGGTTTGTGAACACCTGAGGCTGCTTCAGCTGTGCCTTTCACAGGCTCTGGCCCTCTCATAGCCCATGGAAGCCTGAGTTGGGGAACAATCCTGGTCCACTACTTCCCATCACATAGCTAGGTCTCAGTCCTCCTCCAAGCCTGTGGGTTGTCCATGCTCCTGATTTGGAGGCCGCTGGGCAGGGGCATGTGTGATCAGCCCTCAACTATGCTGTATCTGGGTTCTGCAGAGGTTGCTGGTTCTACCTCTTTCTCTGTGGGCACCCCAAGAATCTTTGAGGAATGAGGAACCTCCCTATTGTCCCCCACCCATTGTCTAGGGTATTTTACATGGTCTCTCTGGGAGACCAAAGAACTCCCAGTGCTCAGTGGAAGGTCCATCTTCTCTTGGATGAGGTCTGTTCCCTCTCCAGGAACAGGAACTAAGCAACACCACACCGGCTCTCACAAGCACCCTAATCTGAGCCAGCAGCTGTTGGCCCAGTAGCCTCCTCTCTCAAAGCTTAGCATGCTCTTTTTGGAGACAACACTAGGCCCATTTAGTAAAGACAGTAAATAATTGGCTCCACCCCCACCCCCTTTACTGTGAGATGGCACTCCTTTGGGGCAGCTACAACCATATAAGGCAACAAGATCCCCTTAAAGTGACCTTCAAGTCTGGGCAGTTGCAAGACCTCCTTCTCTGCTACTTGGGCAGCAGCCATAAATTCTAGCCTGCCATGATGAAGCCCCTGGTCCACACATCCACACCTAGGTCTCTGCCTCCTAGCCCCTGTAGGTTATATAGATCACCTCAGACAATAGCCAGTACTTCTCTCTTGTGGGAAGGGATCTTGCCCATCCCTTTGCTGGCAATAAACTTTTCTTACTGCGTGGTTTTCTGGCAAAGTCTAATAAACTATAACAGCAGCCTTCTCCTTATCTCTGCCCCCCCCCACCTTGTAGATTTTGCAGGAGGCATTAAGCTGTTGTATATCTAGAATGCAGGGAACTGAAGCTCTCTTGGCCCTCTTAAAGCCTCTGTCCTTCTGGTTTAAAGTTAAGAGAGGGCTTCTTACCTCCTCTCTTGGGCTCAGCTCACCTCTTCAAGTAGCTTGTATTTCACGAGTAAACCAGCACACCTTGCTTTAAGAGTTGAAATGGGAGTCTTGCTAACATTTTGCCTGGCTTGGTTTCAAACCTAGATTCTCTTGGCTCTGAAACAGTTGGAATTATAGACATGAGCCATAGTGCCTGGCCAATGCCTACCTTTTAGTTAACTCATGTAAAGTGCTTAGCACACTTCCTTGTTTATACTTATAGTTCAATGCATACGTGTTCACTCATCATTATTCTAGGCCCAGACATGTGGCACTCCTTTTGCATACTTTGAATCAGCTAGAGCTGCTAAGGTCACCTGGGACCTCAGATTCCCTGGCCCATGTGGTGTTTCTTTGGTAAAATCTGCCAAAGGGACTTCTGCAGAGTAGCCAGGTGGAGCATCTGGCAGAACTCCCAGGGCTCCCCATCTGTCATCCCTTCTTCTGCAGGGACTGCAAAGGGCATCTGAGTCAAACCTCTCTGGGGGCAGCCTCCCTCCCAAATGCCCAAGGGGAATGAAGACAGGCTGCAGGAGGAAACCTCCAGGGTTAGAATCAGGACAAGGAGACCCAGTCCAACTATATGACCTTGAACCAGTCTCAAAGCTTCACAGGTCAATCACAGATGATGATTTATCCCCTGTAGAGACTATCATGATAACAGGTAGGACTTGACCATATAGGCTCTGTGGCAAGTATGAAGTAGCATTAATATTGTAATATTATATCCCAACATTTTCAAATCAGGGAAACAGGTGATCTGTTTTTCTTTATAACTATTTCTGTCCCTTTGTCAACTGCGTAGTCCCACACTCACCCAGGTGACCAATGCGTATGGCAATGCCCTCTGCACAAACTCCTTTGCAAAGCCAGTGCCTAGTGAGTTGAGCAAGGATTCAAGGAAGGATGCTACACCTATAGTGGCAGTTGATTTCTAATTCCCAGAGATCGATTTTTAGGAGCACTTCTTCTTTTTTTAAAATAAAGGTGATAGGAAAGTTCGTTAGAAGAGAAATATGGCAGAGAAAGAAAGCACATGAGTGGCACAGACATTCTACAGCATTTTGCCCATCTCAGGAATCTTGTGCTGTCTTCTTAGGACTACTACTTCTGATAAGAGTGGACAAGCTAATATAGATCAAATTCCTAGCTGAGTATGTTAAAATCTGCTACTAAGTGTTTATGTGCCTTTTAAAGTTACATATGCGTATGTTTATTGTATGTATTTATTTAAGTCTGTTTGAGGGATCATGGGGCAAATACGCAGTGACAAATCACAGAGCCAACATGGGAGAAAAGAAGGAAACCTAGGAACATGTGCCTGGCATCTGGGGCTCTGTCCCACTGTTGTGGGTCTGCTGAGTCAAGAAAGATACAGCAAAGATGCTGAGCAGAGAGCTTTTAAATTTCTGGGGTTAAAAGACAGGCCCATCATGAGAATAGCATGCTTGCATCTTTCATGGATTGGACTTCACCGTAGAAGTTTGAATGAACTGAAATGGGCTAAGCCTTCAAGTGATATAAATCCTTTCTTTGGTTAAATGTGTTAAAGCAATCCAGACCTACTGACTAGATGTAAAGATACTTCCATGTGGGAAGAAAACTTCATTCTAGGCTTCAGATTATCCCCACAGGCTTTTGGATTCAATGAGTACCAAAGCTCAATCAAAAGCTACTGGTATGTGAAAAGACAAACTAACACTAAGGAACACAAATACCCATTAGGAACAGATTACTGGGGTTCCAATCACATAAGGAGGTGAGGTTTAAAAACAAGTATGCTTAATATGCTCACACAGATAAAAGATAAGAAATTCTGATGGAGAAGTGGAAATGCTTTTTTCCCAATTGTTTCTCCTTTAGTTAGTTAAATCCCATTGATTGCAGTTTAAAAAGGCAGGGTACCACTTCCTCTGCACAAGTCTACAGGGGAGTCACAACTGCCAAAACAAAACACAAAGAAACAACCCATTGAGCAAAAAACAAATCCAAATCCTAAAAGAAACAATAAACTGCCTTCTGGGAAAAAGTAAGAAGTAATGGCACACTGCATTCAAGGATCCTTGTTTGAAAATGTGCTTGCATAGTACCAATATCTCATGAACCACCATCCTAATTTCCTGTAGAATATGTGTTGCTTGTTTATGATGCATTAAATATAGATAGCCTGAAACTTAGCAGTCCACCATATTAAAGGGCTTTTGGCCTTTGGGAAGGACCTGTTTTCCCCCTTTCCCTTGTATCTTTCCAGACCCCTGGCCCTGTGTCATAGAACAAACAGCAATTCCCATCCATCAATTATTTGCCTAGTGCTAGACCCCTAGAGCTTTCTTTTCATTGTTAGAAGTATTTTTTACAACACACACGGGAAGCTTAGTTTTCCATCTTACAAAGGGAGAGATGCAAGAGGCAGTGGATCCAGGCCTGTGGCTCCTAGCAGCATGCTCCTAGACAGGTGCCACTCCAATTGCTGGATAATCCTCAATGCCTGGCAGCCTTAGGTTTCTTCTCTCCATAAACACTCATTAAACACCGACTGTATACAAAACCCCAACTTGGAAGAACTGGCTTCAAGGACCAAAACCAAGGCTTAGAGAAGTGAGAACACTTTAATGGAACTGAGATTTATCCATTCCTCTTCTTCCTCTTCACCTTTTCTGGACCTCAGCATCTGGCATGTAGGAGTGACCCCAGGGTACATGTATAGATAGAAAAGGCAGTTCTGGCCACCAGACCACTCCTGGGAAAGCTCGTAGGGACCATCCGTGGAAGATGCTACCTTCAGGGGAGACAAGGGGAACCCTGGTAATGATCGCCCCAATTTGGAAGCCAGTGCTCATAAAGGAGCTGGGATTGACACTACTATTTCTAGCCTGGGATAAAAGTGCAACTATCAAGTAAATCTCTCACTCTACTAGGGACAAAAAAAAATCTCCAGGCTGGGACATGCAGAGGGTCAAAGACTGTGGCAGTGGAGGACAGGGGTGGGAGTGTGTGTGTGTGTGTGTGGTGTGTAGGGTAGACATGAGGCAGAGCCCAAGCCAGTCCAGAGCTGGCCAATAGCAGCTTTCCAACTTTGGAGATTGTGCTTGATGAGTTTGATTGGGTAGGAGGGGGTCCTTGGGCCCAGTAAAGAGTGGACAAAGGGAGAACATGACTGCCCTGAAGGAAAGAAACATGGGTCTGGGGGGGGGGGGAGGTCTGGGAAGAGAAAAGTGGAAGGAGACAGGGAAGTACAGGACACAACCAAGGATCTCCAAGGATCTGGAGAAGGGCTTCCAGTAGGTAGGAAACAGATCCCTTCTGATGCTGATGTACTGTAGCAAGGAGGAAAGGGCTGGACGCATAGAAACACCTGCTGGCTCTATAGACTCAGCAGAAGTTTAAGTGTTGGTGTGGGAATGAATGAAAAGAGATTCCAAGTAGCAAGAAGTGGAAAAGAAACAAGTAAGATGGGGGTAGGTAAGCTGCAGTCCAGGGACAAGTCAGGCCTGGAGGCCAGCCTGGGCTCTTGGGCAGGAGCTACAGATGTCCTCTGGTCTAGGCTGAGTCCAGGAGGGAGGATAGGCTGACCTGGGCATTGCCTTGTTCTGTTATGGATTAAGAAGCAAACAGGTGATAGAGGTTCAAGGCTCAGGCCTGTCAAGCAGCACTGCTAACCTTCATGCCTCACCAAGTTCCCAAACCTTCTTGCCCTCTGAGCTTTGGAGACCCCCCTCCCCAGATCCCAGCTCCTTCATTTCCCACCCTGTCAGCCCTCCTTCCCCCCAGCACTGAGGAATTGAGGGAACTCACCACTGGGTTCTATAGCTTCAGGGAGGTGACCCGGGGGATGTGGAAGAGCTGAGTCTCCTCAGAGCTTGTGGAGCTGTGGTATCACAGAATGAGATGTGTTCCTAGCCCCAACACATGGGCAAACCCGGAGCTATGATATTCCTATTTCAGCAAACCCTCCAGGGGAGAGGAAGAGTCCCAGGAGGCTATGCCAGGGTAGAGATGTTATAGTAGGATGTGGGATAGGGCCTGGTGCTCCTTAGAGCTTAAGTCCCTTCGAAGCTAGACCACCAGCCTTCTCTGCCTGAGTCTCAAAAGCAGTGCAGTGGGGGGCGGGCGCTGAATGTGGGAAAGATGTTCTGCTCCTCCAGTGCCTCCCTTGGTCCTGGCAGCCCCTCACCTGAGGCGTTTCCGGATAGGACGGAAGTATTTGGAGGTCTTGACAGCAAAGATGATACTCGGGATCAGGAAGAAGGTGCACCACCCCAGGCAAAACCAGAAGGCATTCTGGACAGCGGGATATGAGATCAGCTCACCTGGCCAGGCAGCAGTGGGCAAGAAGGCACAGAGTCTTCCTGACCACTCTGTACCCACTGCCCCCACTGCAACTGCATTGACTTGGAGGCGGAACCAAGCAGGGGCCATGTGTGGCCCTTAGCCCAGCTTTGTCTGACCCCTGAATAAGACTCACTATCCACACTCACCCAGGGGTCAGCCATCATGTCACATAGGATCACACGACCATTGTCCAGGGCTCCAGAGAAGGGCTGGCAGGTAGCGATTCGCTGAGTCACCTGAGGTAGTCACATAAGCCAGGTACATGTGGACATACCCAGCATGCAGCTGTGCACCCCATATTCCAAGGAGAGGTTGACAGGGACACCGAGAGGCCCAGGGACACAGCTGTGGGCCTTCCCATACTTTATACAGATACAGAACAGCAGGGCCCCACAGAGACACATGGATACAGGGACACGAGAGACAGGGACACACTCACAGGCTCCTTGCTCAGCTACTGCATTTTGTACCTATGCACCTATGTTATGGCCCTGCTGTGTGCCTAGCACAGCATTAAGTCCCTCCACCTGGAGAGGCAACATGTACACACGCACCTCACATGCTCTGTATGTGTCTGCACATGTGCACAGCACACACATCATGAATGCATAGAGTGAATCCACTAGTGTGGATGCCAAGACAGCAGTGGTCAGCACGGGGCCACAAAAGAAGGTAATCTTTGAAAGCTGGCCTTAGACAAGCTGGTCAAAGGGAGGCAGCCCAGGCAAGGACAGGGGAGCAAGGTATGGACAGCACCTTCTAGAGAGTCATGACCACCCCAGTTCATGGAGGCCCCCTAGAGGGGCAGGAGCAGAGGTAGGTTATGCAGAGTCCAGCCAATGAGCAGGGGTTAGAAGAACCAAGCTTGGGGTTAATCCTGAAGGCCTAGGGCATCACCAAAGGAGGCATGAGATGGGAAGAGCAGAATGACCAGCTGGTCCACTAGGGGTAGAGGCCAGGTGGGGTCTGTACCTCTACTCACCTCTTCTCTCACCCAGGCCACATACTGGGAGAAGTAGCCCAATTCCCGGGTCATGAAACATCTGCTTGCCTGTGGGAAAGAGAAGAGGCCTGGGCTGGCAGGAGTCCATACCCTCTGGGAGCCTCAGGGAGGGGAGGTTGGAGAAGCCTGGAGTGAAAGCCCCAAGTTCCTCTGTTTTGGAGGCAGCGCTCAGCCCCACTCACATTCTCCATGATGTGATTGATAAAGACAGGCAGCTCTCCTCTTAGGACGGTGATATTGCCAAGGAGGGCTGTGGTCTCCAGCTGGAGGAGAGGAGAACAGGTTCTAACACAGTGTCCTGCTCAGGAAGCAGTGACTCATTGCTCATCCATCCATTTATCCATCCAACATAAAGTACCAAGCATGTCGTTTTAGCGGAGGAAGGACAGGCCTGAGGGCCTAGAGGTTAATGATCCAGGTCCCCAAGGATCTGCCATCCATCCACTCTCTTAGTCCCATCTCCACCTGCAACCCCAGGGCAGATGCAATACCAAACCAGCTGTTCCTACTTCCCTCCTCCCTGTGCTGAGCCCTCCCCATCTTCCCCATCCCAGTAGCCACCTGGAGATTTGGGGCAGCAGACTCCAGTGCCCTGGCATTGAGGTTAAGCTTAGCCTGTGGAGGAGCAATTAGGGCTAGTTAGGAGCAGGGACACGGGAGGGAAAAAAGTGGAGTTAGTGGCCCAGGGGCCTCTCTCCTCTTTTATTGCCCTCTCCCCAGGGCCTCCAAACTTACTATAAGGTTCTGCTGGGGGACAACCTTCTCATGGTAGAGGTTTCTGAGCCCTTGGGCTGCCTCCTGCAGCTGCTGTCCCAGCATAGAATTGCCCTGAGAGCAGACAGGGGAGGTGGAAAGTGCTACTCTTAAAGGAAGAAAACCATTAAGCTCCAGGGGCTTTCCTGGGTTCTGGGCACCTTAGCCCAAGTTCTACATCTTCCCCTGGCTTGGTGGGTGCCCCAAAGCCAACCACACAGCACTAGTCCCCAGTGGTGCCCACTGAAACTGGAGAATGCTCCTTGGCCTACCCAGGATACAGGGCTGATGTAGGATCTCATATCTCAATGAGAGCTTTTGAACCTCTAAATATTTGCAAATACAAAATGCCATTTCATCCCTTGAAGGGCAGCTGTCATACTGATTCACTGCAATGTCCTCAAGGAGAGCCTGCAAATGATGTGAAAAAAAGAAGTGCTTGCCCAGCTGAGTGATGTTAGATCAACTACTATATCTTTTTTTTTTGAGATGGGGACAGTCTTCTTAATAGATGAAAAAAATGAAGGCTGAGAGATGCTAAATGACTTCAGAGGGCCAGGCAACCAACTGGTGGCAGAGCTTGAGTCCAAACAGACACGGACATGTCTTCAAGCTTAGTAGGAAGGCAAAGAACCCAAGAAATTGGCGAGCCTCTCCATCTCATCTCTTCTCTCATCCCCTCCCCAACCCAAGCATCCCTCTTCTTCCTATCCAAGGACTCCTGTCAGGTGAAGTCTCTGTTCCCTTCTCACTTGGGCTTGAACCAGTCTTTCCAAATCCTGGGACAGCTGCTGCATGTCAGTCTTCACCACAGGCTTCTGGATCTGAGGGCAGAGGAGATAAACTCTGACATCTCCCGCAGCCACCTCTGCCTTTCCCAGCCTTTGCATTCCTCTACCTGTCTATGAAGACATTTTGGTCATAATTGATTTGAACTGGAACTGTAAAACATTTCAGACAGTTTCCAATGGGATAGAAAAGGAAACAACAACAATAACAACCAAAATCCCTGAAGCACATCTGGTGTGAATCAAGCAAGAGGCAGTTTGCTACTAGCATTCTTGGCAGCTGTGGGTTCAGCACCATGAACAGCGACATGAGCTGCTGGGGAGACCCTGTGTGGTGGGGATGAGGGGGAGGGGTGGTGGTTGTCATGATCTGGGCACATTCCCAACCAACCAGGATGAGATCCCAGGAAGAGAGAGGTTAACAGCTGAAACAAGGTGAGAGATGCCCAGTTCCTGGGTGGCCCCCCTCTGTTCTGCCACCACTATACAGGGTACCTCAGGTGGCTATTGCTGACCTGAACAAAGAAGTCATGATAGCTGATTTTCTCTATCCCACTGCTCTGCAATGCCTCCAAGTCCTGGCGAGCTTCAGGGCTCAGCAGATCCAGATCTTTTATTTCCACATTGAAGCCCTTCAACTCTTGCTGCATTTTTGTGGCATACTGGGGAGAGAAGACAAGTTGCTGAGCTAGAACCCCAGAAATGTTCCCCCAGGCCAGCATCCTCAAGCCCCTCAAGCCTCTTCTTGATTGTTCAAGGTCCCTTTGCCTTGGATAGCTCCTAACCTCTATCCTCAGAAAAGCTTCCCAGACCCTTCTGCTTCTCACTCCTCCTCAAGACCCAGCCTTCTTCCGGTCTCAGTCTGGCTACTGGATTTTGGCACAGATCCTACCTGACAGTCACCTGATATGAAATAGCTTTTCATATCCCCTGTTCTAGGGCCTCCATAGCGTTTGACTCTCTTTGCTTATTGTACTTGCTAACTGCTGTCAGCTCCATCATACTGGGAACTTTGACTGACCATCCTGCCCCCAAACCCTAGATCTAGAGCAGAGGCTCCCATATGGTGGCAAGGTACAAGAGTGTGGGCTGTGTGAATGAGTGAATGGCCAGAAATCAATCACATTTTTCAGGAAAGTCCCTTAAGGACCTAGAGCTTGAAACTGAGACTTTGGCCTCAGTGGCCAATGGATGAGGGACTGGAGCATTCACTTGCTGGAAGTTACCCAGCAAATCAGAGAATGCAGCCCGACTTTGCTCACTGCTTCTAGGCTGCCTTCCTAGAGGTGGAGGTGACCATGTGTGTGTGTGTGTGTGGGAGTGGGGGGGAATCTTAATACCTCTCAGAGGAGGTGGGGCTAGTTCTGGGGCTTTCACTCAGAGTCTTATATTCTTTTGGGGCTTTTTTGGTCAAGGCTGGTGCCCTACTACTTGAGTTACACCTCCAGTTCTTTGGAAGTGAATTAACAAGCATTTTTCCTTGTTAATTGGAAATAAGAATCTCTTGGATGAGTCAGCTCAGACTGGCTTTCAACTATGATGCTCAGACCTCAGCCTCTTGTGCAGCTAGGATTATAGGCTTGAGACACTAGTGCCCAGCTTAGAGGCAGGGTTTTATGCAGCTCTATAGGTATCAGTGACAGACAGATGTAGGAATGTGGATGTGTACAACAGACAGTGCCTCCTGGTGCCCTGGAAAGCACATCTTGTCTTGCTGATTTCTGCATCAACTCATTGTCACCAAATTTGAGGACAATGTGTGTGTGTGTGTGTGTGTGTGTGTGTGTGTGTGTGTGTGTGCGTGTGCGTGCGCGTGCGCGCACATGTGCATGCACCAGTCCTGAGGCAAAATCACTGGCCCAGCACCAGAATACTGCCCGCTCTAAGGACCTCCTTCTGGTCAAAGATTCTGGAAGATGAATAGGCTAAGGCTAAGCAAAATAAGCTGTGCTGAGAATAGGGGTGCTGATCCAAAAGGATTTGGAAAGGTTTTCAGGATGATACAAAATGAGAAGGTAGCTTTACACGGGCAGCAGTGTGTAGGGGGGTATGTAGGAAGTGGGGTGTAGGTGTTCCTGAGAACACCTGCTTAGAAATGGATCCCTGGGGACCTCCCCCCCTACCACACTTAAGCATCCAAAGAAGAAAGGTTCAGCCTCTGAGCACTTTTAGAACTACAATCTCAAAGTATGTCTCTCTGATGAAGCTCTTCCTTGGTTCTAGAACTATCTCTTACAGTATCCACAAGTGCCTGAAGCTCTGCATCAACCTGCAAGTTCTACTCTCACTGGTTGTGCATTCTCTGCCAAGAAGAGCAGTCCAAGTCCCATAGCAGACAGACAGTTCTTTAGTCAGGCTAGGGGTGGGATCTGCTGTGCCACCACCTACTGGTTATGAGAGTTTGATATGTCCTCCACCATCATTATCCAACTTATTCAGCAGCATTCACTGACATTCTGGTGCAGCTAATGCCAACCAATGCCTGTCCTCAGTCAGACAAGAACTCACACATGCTCTCACTTTTCTTTCCTTCTACAACCTCTGCTAGATTCAGCTTTTCCTGACCATGGCCTCTGGCAGATTTTTCTGAGCTTAGATTTCTCAGGTTCAGAGAGACTATGCTTCCATGGGGGCAAGATCAGAGGAGGTAGATTAGCAGAAAGAGCCCTTCCAACCTTCCAGAACATTCTCTTACCTGGCTGATATCCAGGTGCTTCTCCAGGTCGTAAGAGTCATTGAGCTGTAGGACCTTCCACAGTGCTGCCCCTTCCCTGCACTGCCTGGGAAAAGTGAACATCCAGGAAGAATGACAAGGGATGGGAGATAGGGGCTTATGTCACCCTCATTGGACACCTACCTCTGTCCCCCCCTTTAGGCCCCTCCTTCCACCCTAGACTCCAACCCATGCTGTGTACTCACTGATAGGCCAAGAGGACACTGATGTTCTTCTTGAGGCCAAGAAGGCGTGACAGGTTCATGGATGGGGGCAAATTCCCTGGGGTGTCTACAAACTTTGGGTGACAAGGAGAAATGCAGCATGAAGCAGGAAGGAGACAAGGCTGCCTTGGTTCCCCAAGGCCTGGGCTACTCAATGCAGGAGAGACCAGGGTGGGAAGGTCCTATGACTCCTACCCAAGCCTGATCACCAGCTCAAAGGCCCTAATTCCTTATAGGACTCTTCTCGAGTCTCTAGGAGAGTGGCCTGCCTTTCCAACTGGTCAGCATCTCAGCTCATCCACTGGAAGCACACTGCGTTCCAGGATTCTCAAACTCAGGGTTGGGAGAGGAAAGGGGGCCAGAGTGGTTGCAACCACTTGGGTCCTTGCCAGAAGCCTGGGCAGCACCCCCAGGGGCTCATAGGTTCTTTCTTTCAAGTCTACCGGTGGTTTTCTGTCTCTTTCCTTGTCATTTCTTTCTTCATTTCCCTGGTTCCTCTCTCACTCACTCATTCCCCTCTTTTTTTCTGTGTAGGTGATACCGGGGCTTGAAATCAAGGACTTGGGCTTGCTAGTCAGGTACTCTACCATTGAGCCACTCCTCTGGCCCTTTTCATGCTTATTATTTTTTGTAATAGTGTTTTTCATCCTGCCCCAAAACAATCCGCTTATTTACACTTCCCATGAAACTAGGATGACAGACATATGCCACCACATCTAGTTACTGGTTAAGGAAAGACCTCCTAACTTTTTTTTGCCCAGGCTGACCTTGAACCACAATCCTCCCTAATTTGCCCTTCCAAGCTAGGCTTACAGGCACGAGCCACTGATGCTTGGCCCCCTCTCCTTTTGACATCCCTCTGGCTCCCACTTTCTCCCAGCCTCCTTGCTTTGTCCACATCTCCCTCTACCTGCCTATGGGCCCAGAGAAGGGACAGTCGCACCTCATAGAGCTCTCCTCGCTCCCAGCTCTGGCACACCAGCGTCTGCACATTGCCGCCCACCAGGAAGGTGGCAAAAACCAGGAGGATGAGTGGGCCAGCAAAGAGGAAGCTGAAGCTCACACTTCTGGGGAGGTAAGGGAGAGGGTTGAAAGAGAGAGAGAGAGAGAGTAGAGCCTGGCTTTTCTGGGCCAGACTTCTGCCCTACTCACACTGCTAGCCCTTGCTAGCTCTGGAATCTTAACAGATGGCACTGCTGTTTTACTCAAGGAGTCAGGACAATCCACATCTGTACTCAAAACCCATGGAAGTGACCTGTTCCAGAGATCTCTTGGCTTGGCATGGCATGGCCAGGTAAGACCCATGGCAGAGGGGAACCCCAATTCATTTGAGAAGTAACAACTCTTGGGCCAGGCATCACTGATTTGTAGGGTTCCTTTGTGAGGTAGGTGCGCACAGCCCCTGTGCGGCGTGGAGAATGAAATATAGGGTGGATTTCAGCCTCTGCGCACCATTTCACCAGGCCCTTTTGTGTAGTGCTTATCCTGTTCAATGTGATATCCTTGGAGACTGTAGGCTACTAGCTCCTGTTGTTGGTGCTGCCAGAAGGCTAGGATAAGGATTCTGAGGATGAGGCTGCACTCAATGGGAAAATACTACAGTTGTCACCAGAATGGGCTGTGGAAGTATATCATATTAATCATTCTTGCTCTAGTTCAACCCCTGTATACAGAGGAGGACACTGAGGCCCAGAAAGGTCATTGATTTGAGCTCAATCTCCTGGCACTAGGAGCTGCTGAGAAAGCATGATGGATCTGGCCAGCCTGGCGGGCCTGTTCCCCCCTCCCAGGCCCTTCTTACAACATGAGGAAGCGGGCTCCAGCCTCGCCCTTGGCTTCTGAGTGGCTGGGGTCTTCTCTGGCAGACAGTCCCCAGGTGCCTAGGCTGAGGCCCAGCAGGTTACAGACCACCACAAGCAGGACCATGGAGCACAGCACGCAGCCCACGATCCACCTGCCACAGAGAAGATATGGGGATCACTGAGAATGGGGGGATGGGCAGCTGAGCTCTAGAGAGGTCAGCATGGGACCTGGTAGCCGGATGAACCCTCTAAACCTGGTGCTGAGGCTTGAGAAGTGCAGTGCTTCACTGCCTTTTTGGATTCCAGGGACACATAGGCAAGGGGTCTTGGTTTAAGAGGAAGAAGACTCAGCGTAGCTGAGTGATACTTAGGGTCACAGAGGGGCTGGGTTCCTGGCACCTGTATGTCTCGTATCTCTGCACATCCTTCAGGTAGGGGCGGCTGCACTCTTCCAGCTCCCCCAGGGTTTGGCTCCAGCGAGAAGTTGCCTTCAAGTCTGGGAATCCTGTGGCCAACATCCTCACACCTTCAGGCTGCCCAGACACTGCCTTCTTCAGATCTGCCCAAAGCCACAGAAGCTTAGGCTGCGGGTGGGGTACCCAGAGCCAGGGCTGAACCTCTAGGACCCACAGAGGAAGAGCAGCTAAGGAGGGTAGTCTTCCCCACCACTGCCTGCTCCTCTCAGCAAACATCTAGAAAAGAGTGTGGCAGGGGGAGAGAGGAAAGGAGTGGTGGCAGGTTGGGCAGGCTGCCTGGCACTGGGTAGGGCCTTACCTTTGACTGCATTGGCCGTCTGCAGGCCAATCAGAAGTGGGAGGTTGTTGAAGGTGCTGTTCTCCTGTGGAACCAAGTAGAGCTGAGCCTCCAGCCCTCCTCCTGGTGTCTCAACTTGAAGTCCTGAAGCCCCAGGCCCAGAAGGAGGGCATCGGCACTCAGTGCTCCCAGTGTGGGGCAGACATTCCTGGGTTCTCTTGGTTTTGGATTTCTTCTTCCTTGCCCAGGCTGACTCTAACTCCCCAATGTGCAGACCATTTTTTTTTAGGGGGAGGTGCCATTCCTGGGGCTTGAACTCAGGGCCTTGTCCTTTAGCGTTTTCACTCAAGGCTGGTGGTCTGATACTTGAACGACAGCTTTCTTTCTGACTTTTTGCTGATTAATTAGAGATAAGAGTCTCATGGACTTTCCTGGCTTTGAACCATAATCTTCAGCTGTCAACCTCCTGAATAGCCAAGATTACAGGCATGAGTTACCAGTACCTGGCTTGCCGACCTCTTCTTTCTATTCCAGCCCTTTCCTAGACCACAGTGGCTTACTCTGCCATCTTCTTGTCTCTCCCACCCATCCCACACATGACTGCTAGCAATGGTCATTTCACCTCTGCTCCCACTTCCTTCTTCTCAGAAGCTCCTGCTCCAGCCAGCCAGCAAGGCTGACTCACTGATTCCCCAAAGCAGGCCCTGGGTCACAGGCGCTGACTCACACAGCACCCTCCCCTTCTGCCAGCCTCCCTGCACCTGACTTGTGAGCACAGAGTATTAGCACAATGAGCCTCTAGTCTAGGGCTCCATTGACAGGGGTGCCCTCAAGTCTTAAGTTCACTTGAGTCCCTGTTCCAAAAGAGGGGGGAGAGACTGAGGCCCTTCACTTGTGAATTCCCAGGCAAGTGCAGTCAGGGAGCCCAGATGAGCACTAACCTCCTGGACCATGCTAGAGAAGTTGGTCTCTGGAACATCCTTCAGCCGATACAGGGCATCATCCAAATGGGGCACCTGAAATGAAGGAGGGAGAGAATCGATGAGAATCTATGCAGGATGAAAAGAGCAGACACCTCTGAACCCCCAGCGTCCTCATGTGCAAAGTGGGGGCCCCAGTGACCCTTATTGCCTTGTGAGGCTGTGAGAAGCCAAAACTTGAATGCATGTGATGCTCAAGGCTCAGTTTATGGGCCCCAGACAGCTCTTGGCCAGGATGATGGTCACCAATCCTGGGGGAAGGGAAGGGCAGCTTGAAAAAGGAAGTCTTAGGAAACCCCCCAGACCACTGGGTTGCCCAAATACTCCTAGGGCAGCAGGCACAGCAGCCCTTCTGAACCCCTGAGAGGCCTTTGTCCTTTGCCTCTACCTGGCTGAAGTCAGCACCCAGCTCTAGAGCATGGACTTGGCTCAGGGTCCCTGTGCAGTTCCCCTGACACTGGGGATCCTGTAGCAAGGCAAGCAGGCGTTCCCGGTGGTCTCGCACAGCTGGTTCTAGGTGCTGTTGTCCTTCTTGAAGTTCCTTGGTGGTGGCATTCAGGGCCCGAAGGTGGTCCATGGAGACCTGCAGGGCTAGGAGACCCACACCTGGCCTGAGGAGCCTCCACATTTCCTAGCATCCTCAGCAGCTTTGTAGGAAGCAGAACATTCATTCCCTCTCCCAGGACAAAAGGACTCATAGCCATTAACCTCTATAGTCACGGTGGAAACTGCCCAGGGCAAATTAGGCCAGGAAGTGGGCAGAGAAGCCACAGACGGGATCCTGGATAATGGGATAGAAAAGACATGGGTGGGGCTGAAAATCTAGGACTGGGGAAGGGCAAGTGCACCTCAGAGGACACACCTGCTGGGCCCACCTGTGTGCAGGGCACGGATCCAGCTCACCTTGGCCCAGGCTGTGCACTGAGGCCAGCAGCAGGTACACCTTGCTCTTCAGCTGGCTATGAATTAAGTTCCCGAGGCGCTCCCCAACACCTGGAGAGCACAGGGCATGCTGCTGGGCTGGCCCCTCGGGAGCTCAGGACCTCTCCCCCACCCCCCACCCCCAGTCCCAGTCCCAGGCTCTGCAGGGTAATGTTGGCTTGTCCATCCTGTTGCAGTGTGACTGCTGCACAGGCTTCCCAGGGGGCTTTACCCCACCTATGAAGCCGGGGTATGAGCAGGGAACTCTGGGATTAGCCAACTTGTAACCATTACCATCCAGGTCCTCCAAGACTTGATTCTGGGGCAAGGAAAACTGATCTGCCACGGTCTGCAGCTCCTAGGCAAACACAGCCACAGCGTGGTAAGCCACCTTTCCCTGTCCCCCAGCAGCCCCTTTCTTCTTGAGGACCCCATAAATTCAGTTCTTTGCATTTCAGAGACTCTCCAGCAGGGGGTAGCAGCCAGGCATGCAGAGAAAGTGACACCTTCTCTGCCTAGCAGGCTCTGAGCCATGGATGACCCACTCTGCTCTCTGTCTGGCATGGGCCTGGTGCTTCCATGAGGACAAAGTGGTTACTCAGTGCTCACTCAGTGCTCACCTCAGGGATATCAGACACCAGACTCTGGAGGCTGAGCAGGGTCTCAGGCACAGCTTGAACACTGGGACCTGTCTGTTCATGCGTGCGCTGGTTGGTAACAAAAGCACAGACCATGCCAACCCTGCAAGAATGGATGAGAGAGGGAAGGTGCTTGCAGCGTGCCCTGGAGTCTTAGCGATGGCTCAGCCCTCCCTCCTGACCTGGGAGCCTCTCACAGCAGCACGAAGGTAGTCAGCAGCAGGAAGGCCATGAGGGTGCCACGCTCACAGGCCATGGCTTTGTGCTCAGTCTTCACTCGACCCCCACAGCGCCGGTGGCAGCGACAACAGCAGAAGCAGAGCCCAGTGATGGGCACTGCCAGGAGGAAGAGGCCTGCGATCACAGCACACACTACGTAGCCCGCCTCATACCGCACCACCTGGGCAGGACAGTAAGGCATGAGGGGCGGTGCTGTTTCCCACTTCCCACTTCCAGCCAGTCCCAGCTCCCCACTGACTCCGGAGGGCCGCTTGAAGCAAAGGAAGTTCATATGGTTGGTCCTTTGCCAGCATCTTGGTGAACCCATGAAACAGCTGCACAATGTCTGTTAATTACCAGGTTACAGACAAGAAAACCCAAGTCTGGGCTGATTTGGGCTCACTTTGAATCCCACTGCTAATTGAACCTAATTCTGTCACCACATCACCCACGGAGGAAGGGAAAGGATTCCCTACCACATGTGTGCACATGTGCACGCATACACACACACACACACACACACACACACACACACACACACTTGACAAGCACCTAAAAAGTGGCCTGGACTGAACAAGAAGGGGGCCCCCTTGCTCATCCCAACCTCCCTGGCCCAGCACCTGCCCCTTGACTCTCACCTCATCCACCTTCACTGAAGATGGCTCATTCAGCAGGGCCTTGACCAACTCTACCAGAAAAAAAGCCAGGCTGAAGGTTTGGAGACAATCACTGCCCTGCCCTTTGCCCACTTCTAGGCCAAAGGTGGGTTCTTGGAGAAGGCATGTCACGTGGCGCTGTGCCATCTTACTGGGCCTCAGTGCTACCACAGAAGGAGACAGCTGGGCAAGCAGTCCTCCTGGGCCTTAAGCTAGGCCCTGCCACCCAGCAAAGGCAGGGAACCGGCCTGGCCTGGAAGCCCTTCCCCTCCTCCAGGGAATCCCTAGTGTTGCTGGGCTTGGAAAATGAGCAGGTCTAACCATCTGAGTCAGAGAAGTCCAAGCTCAGAGAGGAAAGGTGGCTTGCCTAAAGTTACAGAAGAAGGTTCCAGAGCCTTCTCCAGGAGCTACCTCTGGTCTCCCAGAACTTCTGGGATAAAGAAGGTGAAGGGTATTCAGGGGACCCTGCCTTCCAAGTGCCCGTTGACAGGATGGGCACAGATGCCTGGGAGGGAAGGAGGGAGGGAGGAAGTCACTCACCCGTAGGGAAAGGGTTGAGCTGCACCACGGAGAGAAAGCGGCGCACGGTGCCATAGAGAGGGTCCAAGGGCCCAGGCGCGCGGACCAGAGGGGCCAGCCACCGGGTTCTGGCAGCCGGAGTGAATGTCAGACGTTCGGCTGGGCCGAGGTACCCGCAGTCCGAGGCTGTCGCGTGGGGTGGGCTCAGAGCCAGCCCCAGTTCCAAGCTCAGCAGGGACACCATGAGGCCCGGCACACGCATCGTGGGGTCGGGTGGGTGGGCCGCGGGGCAGGCAAGACTGGCTCAAGCTGCAGAGGGTGCGGGCGAACGCAAGGCAGGCCGTGCATCCTTCGGCAGCCTTCCTCCCTCTGTCCCAGTGGCCCTCCAAACCGGCCCGACTGGTTTGGGCTCCAGAGCTACCTGGGCACCCGCCGGGAGCGTAGGAAGGGCAGGGGCGGAGGCCTGGGGTAGGGGGCAGGGCCTGGCCCAAATGCCCTTGACTGTCTGTGCAGGAAGCCAGGCGCCCTTTCCCCTCCCCAAATACATAAGGGAGACACCTTAGTACCTCTGAATTATCTAATGTGGCCCAATTGCAAGTATTATATTCCAGGTCCAGCCCTAGCAGGCCAGTCTTGAAGGTGGGAAAACACAGCCACCTAATAAGGCCCTGGACCAAAGTCTCAGGTCCAGGCTCCCTGATTCCTTTGGGGCCTGTTCTGTTCTCATGGGTTATGCCAGGACCCCTACCAGGCCAATCTAGGGCAAGCATTCACTCTGACGGGTGCAGTCCTTGTGGAGAATTGAGGTGTAACCAATGTAGCCACCAGCTAAATGAACTAATCAAGGATATGCCCAGAGATGCGTCTCCACAGGTCTCTGATTTGTAAATGCCCATCTGCCCAGCACAAAAAGAAGCTCACCTCTAACTAAGCAGACTGTGAGAAAATACAGCTGGATGGATGGAGGGTGTTCCTGGCAGCGTTATTCAAGATATCAGAAATAGTCTCAAAGGCTACCACTAAGTCATGGTGGAATAAATATCTCATGTAACAAGCTTGGCCATCAAACAAAGAAAACAGGATGAAAATGTCTCTTTTGACCTGAGAGATCCTCATGATACATTAATAGGGGCAGGTAATAGACTACAGAACAGTGGATGGGATGAGGCTCATCCCCAGGTGGAATCATGGGTAATTTTCAATTCTCTTGTTCACCTGTGCATCATCATTTCTGTGCATTGAACATGTGTTACTTGTGCTTAAAGAAGTGGGTGCGTTTCCATGACAACTCCACCTCACTGAGAGCCCTAATAAAAGAGGCTGACTTGGTGGCTCCTGAAGCCCAAAGGTCAGCCTAAGACACTAGTTAAGTACTGGTTTGTGTGGTGAGTGACAGCCACAGACACTCTGGGTTGCCCTGGTAAAGTTGGAAGTAGAGAGGTTACTGAAGTTTGAGTCAGGGCTAGGCTGGCAGAAGACTGACTTTTTACTCTTGCTATTGTTGCCTCCACAATTTTCTCAGGGCTGCACAGGTCATGGAAGACATAGTTTTAATAATGAGGTGCACACCAGAAACAGGATATCATCAAAGGATGATTCAGAGATGAGGATCAGGACTGCAGTGAGAAATGGGTTGGGAGAACCCTAACACTAGTCTAGTGGGAGCAGACTGTGGCCCACAGAGTACCCATACCTCCCCTAGAGGTCCAACCCTAGTATATGGAGAGATGCCCCTGTTCACTGTGCTCCTGTTGAAACCTAACGTTAGGTTGTGCCCACCTCACCCCTGCTCCACAGCCTTCCAACCAGATTATTCACTTGAAACTCTGCCCCTCCCCCGCCCCCAGCCAATCATCTGTGCTCGAGTCCTGCCCCATTCCAGGCTTCCATTAGAAAGACTGATATACTCTGCTGGGTGCCAGGGACTCATGCCTGTAATCCTAGCTACTCAAGAGGCTGAGAACTGAGGATAGCAGTTCAAAGCCAGCCTAGCAGAAAAGTCTGGGAGACTCTTATCTCCAATTAATCACCAAAAAGTCAAAAGTGAAGCTATGGTTCAAGTGGTAGAGTGCTAGCTTGAGAAAAAAAAAATAGCTAAAGGATTGTGCCCAGATCCTGAGTTAAAGCCCCAGTTCCTACACAAAAAAAGAAAACAGGCTGGTATCTCTAAGGACTCTGATCCTGTCTCTTCTCCTCTAGTTACAGCTGTTAAAAACAATTACTCCATTAGATTACTTTTTAACTTCCATCATTACTGAATTGGAAACAACCCTTGCCCAGCCCTGTGTAAACCACCTGACATTGAGGATTTTTTTTTTCCTGACTTGGATGCTAATGGTATGGAAATTAGGCCCCAGACACAGGCGGTGGGTGGAGTGGGGGTGGGGAGGACTGAAATCCTTAAGGACCTAGAAATAAGCAGATCCTTCATCCTCCCACTCTCTTTCCTCAATTATCATAATTAAGCCAATCATGGACTGGCTGCTATTGTTTTCATAAATGTCTAATAAAAACATTGGGCTTTGAAGTTAAGATTTCTCCAAGAAAACTAAAACTATGCCAAGTCTCTTCTTCAGCCTGGAGGCATAGGAAAGCTGATGAAGCTGTGGAATCCATTCCCCTTATGACAGGTGGAAGTATGGAAGATGGGACTTTTCCTGAGTCAGTGTCCAGGCCAGGAGCCAACACCCAGGTTTCCTTCCCAAGCAGGATTCTGAAAGGACAATCCATGGTCACATTGGCTGGTCAGCTCTGCCCCCTCTGCCCCAACCCATCTGGGAGAGCAGGTGAGGGTAGACCTGGCACAGGGCAGAGAAAGGAATAGAACTGTTGCTATAATTAAATGCTTACCTTAGCAACAGTTGGGCAACAGCATCTCACACAAAGCTTATTTTATGATAAAGAGGTGTCATATATAATTTGCTGAATACTGTGCTGAAAGTGACAAACAATTATCTGTGGACACCATTACAACACTGTAAAATTGAAAAATGCTGTCTTAAATCTAAGATTATCTATCTATATCTATATCTAGATATAGATATCTATATATATGCATTTGCCAGTCCTGGAGCTTGAATTCAGGGCCTGGGCACTGTCCCTGAGCTGCTTTTTGCTCAAGGTTAGCACTCTACCACTTGAGCCTCAGCGCTACTTCTGGCTTTTTCTGTGTATGTGGTCAAACCCAGGGCCTCATGGATGCAAGGCAAATGCTCCACCACTGAGCCATATTCCCAGCCCAAATCTAGGATATTCTTTAGCTGGAATGCCTGAATGCAAATCTGAATCAGGAGTAGATGAGATAAGTTGGATGCTATCACACAACCCTATAGTCCCAGCTATTTGGAACGTTGGAGCAGAAAGACATTTTGGACCCAGGAATTAGAGACAACATGCAAGATAAAACAAACAAACAAAGAGTCTGTGCATGCTGAGAGACAGCCTGAGAGGAGGGGTGTCATGAGGTAGGATGGAGAGGAAGAGGCTCGTTGCTGTACAGCCTGTGCCTGGAGCATTTTATGAGTCTGACAAAGTAGTAAATTTAGGGTAAGGCCCAAGGAGAGACTGCAGGTGAAGTATGTGAGAGTTTTAGCAAGGTACTGAGAATCCTTCATGATGGTGACTGCAGACCAGGTATGGCTTCAGTATGGCTACTGAGCTTGGGCCTGAAGGCAGCAGGTATGCTTTGTCAGGAATTGTCAGAGTTGGGTGGGTGGACTGCAGGTAGATGCAGATGGCTCTACTCTGGTCCCCCATGGTAGGTGAGCGTCTAGAAGCAGCAGCCTTAGTACTAAATGAATTCTTCCAGAAAGACTGCTGTAGGAAGGCTTCAAGTCAGCTAAACCCTCAGGCGCTCCACCCTCTTCATGGCCAGGTGTGTTCCCCCAGGACCAGAGGGTCACCATTTCCTTAAGACTTGCTGTTCTCTGTGCCGCAGGAGAGGACAGTACCTTCCTGCCTAAGCCAGACCTCAAGCTTATTGACCTGCAAGTAGTACTGTACCTCATCACCCAGAGCCTCATCTCTGCCCTCACTCCATAGTCAGGAGAGGGTTTGACTCAAGTTCAGGGGCTGGGTCGCATCTGACACTTACATCAGCCCCTTACCCCTGCCCCCTCCCTGGCCACTGTTAGAAAAGAACATGAGTCTGGTTTGCAGGGCCTCAAGATTGAGGGGCCTATTGCTATCTAGTAGCATCACAGAAGCTCTTCCTCGCCTCCCCCCTCCCCCAGCCTTACTTTGAAGATAATGGGCAACTATTGGTGATAAACCACTGGTCCTATTCTAATACTACTAATTTTCTGTTGCTATAACAAATATCCTGAGGCTGTGTAAGTTGAAAAGAAAAGACTTACTTAGCTTAGAGTCTGGAAGTCCGAGAGCATGGTTTGAACTTCTGCTTAGCTCTAATCAGAGTCTCATAGCACGTTGTCTCATGACATTGGAAACACCTACATAAGAGAGCATATGGACAGACAGGAAGCCAGAAAATGGTGAGCAGTCTTTCTCCTTTATAATAGCTCTCTTTCTCAAAAGAACCAACTCACTTCAGGAAGCCAACATGGATCCCTTCAGAGGACTATGCCCTCAATAACCTCATGGCCTTTCACAAGGCCTCACTTGTAATTAGTCCACACCCTCAACATGGTGGTAGAAGCTTGGGAACAATGCTTCTAGCATATGAACTCTAGAGAAACAAACTCAAACCTATCCAAACCATAGCAACATCTTTAATCCTGTCTCTTCCCATCAACACAAGTACAAGGAGCCAGGCACTGGTGGGTCTTGCCTGTAATCCTAGCTACTCATGAGGCTGAGATCTGAGGATCGTGGTTCAAAGCCAACCACACAGAAAAGTCCTTGAGACTTGTATCTCCAATTAACCACCCCAAAACCGGAAGTGGAGCTGTGGCTCAAAGTGGTAGAGCACTAACCTTGAGTACAAAAGCTCAAGGATAGCACTCAAGCCCTGAGTCAAGCCCCAAGTCTGACCTCTCCCCTGCAAAAAAAAAGTGCAAAGAAAGGTTATTTGCTGGCACCTCCAGAGATGCCATTCATCTGTTTTGTCCTGACAACCCAGGAAGGTCATGAAAATAGCATCTTCCAGACATTTGGGTATGCCATCTGACATCCTCCTACCAACCAAAATTTCTCCTGGCTGTGTCCTACACACCCTTAGGGAGCCAGATCTTCCATTGTAGCTTGCTGTGTTAGCTGGAAGTCAGGGTAGGTAAATGCTGCAGATGAGCCCACCTAGCAATAGTGACGAGATTGGGTTGTATGCTACCAGCTGGGTTGAAAAATGAGACTCCAAAGGCTGCTGGGAAGATTCTGGTGGCACTGTCTGCCCCTGATCAGAGCCTGTCTCTCTTCAGCACCTAGAAA